GAATAGATAATTAAGCCAGTTTTGCATTGTTGCTCGGCATAACCCCACTTTATTAGTCAGTTCACAGGTTTCAGTCATAGCTTTAGTGTTTATAAAACATATAATTTCACAAAATTGAAGCTCAAACTGCATGGCTGCTTGATGGTCAATAACTTTATTATATTTTGCGTAGTACAGTAGGGCCAAGCAGCGTAGTAACCATACGTCAGATAAAGCAGCTCTGTACCTTAGGTAGTGACGCCACCAGCCTCGGCATGCGGGCAACCGCCCCTCACATTAAGCATTCAATATTAGGCTAGCACCCATCGTTGTCAAAGCATCCACGGCGCGTGGCTTCAATGAAGGTCACATCGGCAGAGCCGCGCGCCTTCCTCCCTTTAAGAATCAAGTTCACAGAGCGGTGGGTCAGGAGCGGTTTACGTTCGGCGTTGTGCCAGGGGTGGTGAGACAGAACACTTGCTGGTCAGAGCATGGGGAAATCACCTCCGCCGCCCAAAGAGCGTGGGAGTTAGGGTGGGGTTCGCGGCTCGCAGTTTTAAGTCGTGCCCTGCACAATCGCATCATATAATTTCACAAAATTGAGAGCAATATATTAATCGCATTTAGCAATTGTCACCTAGAGACATTTCTTTTCTTAAAAGTAGCGCAAATTACATCCTATACTCACTGTCATTATATTTTTTGCTTCAGTAGCCAAAACTTACCCAAATGCACTGCCAACTTTCTAAATGCAAAACTGGCGTTATGAGTGTTGGTAACTATATGTATCTATGATAAGCGAAATCACATTGACTAATAATTTACTACTTCATTTTACTGCATTCGTGGTAAATGTAACAATGGCAACTTGCTGAAAAACTTCGCTACTATGTGGCAAGTTAGAGAAGTTTGATTGCAGCCCACCACTGACACCTAGAGCTTTTGGAAGTGCCTGGATCCTTACTCATGAATGTGTATTTTCTGATTGACATTGTAAAATGTTCGTAAATGTTTGTAAATTTAAGTGAAGATTAAATTGTAGGACATCAGCTTTTCCAGGTGAGCAATCCGAGAGTGTTGATCGCGAGCAAAATCGTGTGAGCAGTAAAAGAGGGTAGCGAAGGGGGGGGTCAGCGGGGAGGGCGGTACATTGGGCACAGGGGAGGGGGGAAAGGAGCGGGTAGGGGGAGGGGGAAGGCAGGGTCCAAGATGGGGCGCGGGGACGGGGAAGAGGGGGGAGTTTAGCGTTAGAGCTTGCATTGGGGCAGCATAGGTTAGGTTAGTGCTCTAGAACTACTAGCCCATAGCCCTCGCGCAGCAGGCGTTAGAGCGAGGGCTACTAGTTCTGAGCCTAAGTTACGTGAGCGAAGAGTGCAGACACGAGGGAGAGAAAGCGCGCGGTGAAAGCCGACACGAGCGAGGCGAGATTAACAGCGCGTTCGTGTGCGTGGAAGCGTCGGGTACGAGTCGGGGGAGCACGCGCCGGAGAGGAGGAGAGAGAGAGGAGCGGCGAGATAGGTTAGAATAGAGAGCATTAGTCGTCGTATTTTTTTAAATAAAGACTTCTATAGACGCGGTATGTCAATAAGACCGTTTGTACTTTTTCATATTAAATCTTTTTATTTTAACAGTTCGTACAATGGATATACCAATAAAATGTTAATATCTAAACTACTTACCTATGACTGACTACTACCTATTCTAGCCTATCTTCGTTACTACTTCATCGTCATGAGATTCTGCAATGGGAATAAGACAAAAATACAGTTATACTAGTACAAAAATCCCTTGAAATCGGACACTTAAAAAACGTCACAATGCCCAGCATCCAAGACGCTAACGATTTCTCCAGCCTACTAGACTACAATCATACTTCGCTTTAGTCTAGTACTGGAAGAACCATTAGCGTACTTTGGATGCGCAGTTGTGAGCCCTTTTAAAAACTACAAGTAAACTGCCGCCAAGTGACTTGTAGAACTGGACAACGCTGACTTACGGGAATGACATATAAAATAGTCTAAGAATTCCTATGAATGATATCTTACTTAAGTGATATTATAGCACTGTACATAAGATACCAAACTCACGGTAACCTAGTATGTAAATCTGCCATATTAGTCTATAGCAACGATATTTTAAATGATGGAGAGAGAGAGAGAGAGAGAGGGGGGGGAGGAGAGAACGAGAGAGAACGGCGAGAGACAGGAAAAAAGAAAGTCAGCGACAGATATATGGAAAGAAAGAGAGAGGGAGAAAGAGTGAGTGAGAGAGTGAATGAAAGCATAAGACGACGGAGAGAGAGAGAGAAAGAACGAAAGAAAAAAAGAAAGAAAGAAACGGGGAAGTGACCGGGTTAATAAATTCAATTTTTTAATTTCATGTGGACATGCACATTACCTCTACCTCTCCTTCTCCCTCTCCCGCTCCCTCAGACTCTCTTCCTCCTCCTACACCATCTCCCCATCTACCTCCTTCTTTATTTATTTCTTCCTTTTTCTCTTTTCCCATTCCCTCTTATTCCCCTTTCGTCATTCTCTCTCCTTTCCACCTCTTTTTGGTTCTCCCTCTTCATAGTTTCCTTATTTCGACAAAAAATCTCCCCCATGCCCAAAATGTGAATTTACGCCTATATAACACATATATAATACATTTCAGAAGAATTTACGGAGATTTTAACAGATTTTTATAGATGACATCGATCTATAGGTAATCACTATACTACGTACACGTTCTCGTAGAAGACCGTCCGTCGTTTTTACGTACATTGATACATACATAGTACCAAGAGTAGATAATAACACATATGTGTTATTATCTACTCTTGATAGTACCATAGTACATTACGGACGCGACAATCCCTCTCCCTATCTTTTTCTCCCTCTCCCTCTCGCCTTCTCTTATCTTATTCTTGACATTGTTTGTCTCTCACAAATGCGCAAAACGGTTTACTATACCCGATACAATTAACGCGCTGTCTTCACTATTAACTGCAATAAAACCAATGAACCAACTCAGATACAGCATTGTATACAACGACGAGAAGAGAGATGCAGATCGTAAAATGAGACAAGAATGAACAGCTAGTTTCTATCCACCGTCTTTCGACTACACGTACAAACACGCACATGACGAAAGAAAGCTCGCTTAATCGCTTAATCAAGATACCCTTAGTTACATAGTATGCACAACAATGAATACCTATGGTATCATGTAATTTCTATACATATAATTCTTAGCTTTATGAATGTGGGTACATATGTGAGTTCATGAATTTCGAACACATTGTCTTGTTGATAAAATAATAGAGGGCTTAGAAGGCGTTTAGAATGCATTAGAAGTAACATTGGTCTCGTTGTGCATTGGTCTCGGTGACATTCGGATTCCATCAAGTGGTGTAGCCATGGTGACCTGTTGCCATTTTTGTGTTTGAAACGGAATCCGCATCATTTACCTCCAAAAGTTTCGAGCGGAGTATAGAGCTTGAATCTGTGGTTATTTACCATGAATAAAGTCTATGTTGTGTAAGCGACGAAACTAGTGCTACCATCACGTCGTTCATGACAGAAGAAGAGACAACTAATGGCCAGGTCTATGTCCAATTCCAGTCCAGTCATCCTCGCTAACTGTCTTGTCTCTTGCATGGTCCCCTTCAGGACCTTCTCTCCTCATCTTCAGGAGTATTCCCTATTATCTACTCCTGATATCTATGTATGTATCTATCTCCATCTCTTTCTCTCGCTCTCTTGCTCTCCTGCGTTCTCTCTCCCCCTCTCTCCTTCTCTCTCTCGCTCTCGTTCTCTCGTGATCTCTCTCTCTCTACCTCTCTCCTCATGCCTATTTATCTCCACTTTCTCTCGCTCTCTCGTGATCTCTGTCTCTCTCTCTCTTCATGTCTATCTATCTCCTCTGTGTCTCGTTCGCGCGTTCGCTTTCACTTTCCCCCTCTCTGTCGCCCTCTCTCTCTCTCGTCCTCCCCATCACTCTCTCCCACCCCTCTCTCTCGTCCTCCCCGTCACTCTCTCCCACCCTTTCCCCATATCTCTCTCGCTCTCTGTCTATCTGTCTGTTCCTCTGCATGTCTCTCTCTCTCTCTCTCTCTCTCTCTCTCTCTCTCTCTCTCTCTCTCTCTCTCTCTCTGACACTCGCTGGCCCTCGCGTGCGCGCTCTCTCTCTCTCTCTGCATGTCGATCTATTTCTTTGAACCCTCTCTCTCTCGCTCCGACACTCCTGGTGCCCATCGCTACGCGGCCGCTAAGCGCTCTCTCTCTCTCTCTCTCTCTGTCTGTCGGTCTCTCGCTCTCTCTCTCTCTGCGTGTCTATCTATCTCTCCCTTTCTCTCGTTCGCTCTCTCTCTCTCTCTCTCTCGTCCTCCCCTCACTCTCTTCTCCCACCCTCTCTGTCTCCCTATCTCTCTCTCTCGCTCGCTCTCTATCTATCAGTCTGTCACTCTGTCTCTCCCTCTGCGTGTCTCTCTCTCAGCATGTCTATCTATCTCCCTGACTAGCAGAGTACAGAGCGTGAATCTGTGGTTATTTACCATGAATAAAGTGTATGTTGTGTAAGAGTATTTAATATTTTATATAAGAGTATAAATGAGTATTTACAATATAATGTTTATTTCACATAAAATCACCTCCCACATTCAAAAAATAAAAAAAATGTACAATGCGGTTTGCAAGCAGGATATTATGATATTGTTTACCACTATTAGTTAGCAATAACTACAACACGTCGCTTCTAATCTACTCGTATTATCTCTATATATATATTTGAGCTAACTACATAACATCATCGGAGGATAAACTGCAAAAATTTAGAAGAAAACTTAGAAAATCTCAAAGAAGGAACTTATTGCACTATTAGGATAAACCCTAATTGTAGCGTAGTGACAAATCAAGTGTGTGTGTAAGATGCTTACCAGAGCTAGAAACACAATAATGGATTACAATTACAAACAATCTAGCCATAAACCCAACATAGACCTTTTCTATGCACAGATGACAACATAATTATGGTTTTCAGTTAGTCACCTAGAGACCAGCACCCATAGTAATCAAGAAAAACAGGAACCATGAACTAAAGTTCTTTTTATGATTAATTTGAATGGCCCAGCATGCCTACCTACAAACACTTCTACCCCCAAGCATGCTCATTGGATGCAGCAGCAGTGACTGCAGGTATAAGCAGTGTCAAGGCCTCCTTTGACTATAAAAATCTGACTGTGCCTGAAATTCCAAAAGGCTTTAGAGAAATTCGTAACTACATTGTAAATTTCTGCCTACACTTGTCGATATTAACTCAATGTTGACAGTTACTGGTATGATGTTCTCCCTCGTGAAAGCTTCCTCCTCATATTGCGCTACAAACTGCACCGCCTTCATGAAGAAGGAGTTCACGGAATGGTCTGGCGCAAACTGTAATTCGCTGAGAGCACGACTGGCAGTAATGTGCGTGTCCTGCATAAGCCGCAACTGCTTTTGAATCCCTGTACGTTCCTGTAGCGAGCGCACATCATGTCAGCTTGGCAAGAGGGAATGTGCCACGTTCCTTCCTTGCCTATGCACCTACATGATGGCCTGAGACGCCCATTAGATGGCAACTGAGGTCAGAGCCTATGAGAGCCACCTACGAGACGCCTATGAGATGGCAACTGGGGCAGAGCCACCTGCAACTGCAGTAACCAACTAAGTATCACAAGAAGATTATCCCTCCCCCACACCCCTGTGAGAGCAACGGGCAGAGGCAACGCGCTAAATACTTCTGGTAAACAGTAGAGAAAAAAAACCCTGCCAACGAGAAACCAACCATTTTTAATCACGTTTGCCAGCACGCAAAGGAAAGCAAGGCATCCTCCGCCCACAGCTTCGATGCGACCCAAACATTCGCCCGTTGCCGTAGTAACTATCGAAGCTTCAATCATAGGGTGTTATATATATATAAATGCAATAACAAGACGACCTGATTGGCCGTATATAAACTGAGGTACGTGTAGAACAAAATGTGCGACCGACACCAGCAGGCATTGCCATCTCCCGTCAACTGTTGCAAGTCGCAGAATCATACAAAAACGAGCTTTCTGTCATCGGGCAAGCACAAGAATCAGTCACTAGCTAGCACCGGCTAGCCTTAGCCTTCACGTCCTAATGCAGGCATCCCAGAGTCGTGCACCTGCCCAATACGTATCCAGAGGGCAGCCTACTCACATACAACGTAGATGCAGAAAAACGCGCAAACATGTAGAAAAACTCCCAAAATATCAACCGGCTGATAAACTCTTGGAGAATCACATACGGGCGACTCACAACCCGCTTTCCTTTCCTTCTGTTATCTGCTTCACGTACTGCACTTAAGACGTCAGGTAAACTAGCCAACCAGTCATGTTGTTGTTTCCATCTCTGTTTGCTCGCGTCTCTTCCGTGCGATGTGACGGATGATACTGAAAGCCCCTGTCACCAGTGTCAGTCCAGCTTTGTGATACTCCCGAGTTCCTTGGCTGAGTTTAGCCTTCGCCAAGAATTCTGGAAGACGCCTTTGATGCGCTGAAACACGTACTCATCGTAGACCGACCTGGCAGCATTGGAGTAATCGAATGGCTCTGCAAGAAAAATGACATACCGATAGCAAAATTAAATGAGCATCAACATTGCTGCAAGTTGGGTATTTTCGCCGATATTTTTGACGAAGCACACAAACAGAGGCGGGCCATACATAATGAAACCATACACATACACGTTACACCAGTGGCTTGCACTTGTAATGTTGCGAAACCACAATCATAGTTCCATATTTCGACATAGAGATGCAGATTGCTAGGGAAATACGAGCGGCAACATAGAAATAAACAAGGACATTATGCGTTTAATAACAATGCTACACACCTCCCTACACACTCACCGTTCGCTTGATCTACCCCCACCCCCATGTGCTTACACTGATACAGTTCACAAGTAACACACCTTCAATGCAGAGACACTTCCACTGCGACGAGGGATTCGGTTTGATCGATCTTCGTTTAACGACCGTACTCCGTGGCACCTTCGCTCCAAGCCTCACTGACACTGCATCCTTGCTGAAGCTGCAAAGACAACCGCCAACACTCAGGTGTCATGCCACCAGGCAAACCACGTCTGCCACCAGGCAAGCTGCGTCCACCACCAGTCTGCCACCAGGCAAGCCGCATCTTCCACCAGCCAAGCCGCGTCTTCCACCAGCCAAGCCGCGTCTGCCACCAGCCAAGCCGCGTCTGCCACCAGTATGCCACCAGGCAAGCCGCGTCTGCCACCAGCCAAGCCACGTCTGCCACCAGTATGCCACCAGGCAAGCTGCGTCCGCCACAAGGCAAGCCGCGTCTGCCACCAGCCAAGCCGCGTCTGCCACCAGGCAAGCCGCGTCTGTCGCTCCTATTTTTGACAAGCATCAAGACCAGTGACCAAGACCAGCGTAACGAGCGCAGCTGTAAACAGCACCTGTTCCTTGCACCAGAAGCGAGCTACTTCATTACTTACTTGAACTTGTTGCTGTAGTATTCCAGGAAGCCAGCAAACAATGCTCCGACGGACTCCCGGTTTTTGGAATGCCATTGCGGAGCATCTTCGTTCAGGACTAGACTGCGTACGTCACTGTCTGGACTAAATTTGCTCTGAAAATGCCATCAGCAGCATAGCTCAAATTTAGATCATTCGTTTCGTAACGACCTGTTTAGTTTATTTAATGACTATTTCAATAGAAATTACATCTATGCCAAAAAGCAAGCGGTCTTCAAATTTTATAGACAATGCTGTCTTAAGTGTTTTACAATGGTCATGTCCAATTACATTTTTCCCTATCAATTCCCTAAACTTCGAAAAATCTCATTTTCATTTCGTAAAGCACCAGTAGACAAGATGCATCATGGATGCCTACCATCCTGAACAACTTTTGCAGAGGAAAACTTAACAACTCGTGAAATGCACTCACAGGGTAGAGTTTCTGTAAGCAGGGTAGTACAGGAGGTACACATCCATCTAAAATACACAGCAATTAAAGATCAACACAGAATTAGAATCTGACTTAACAAAAATAATTCCTAGCAGGCATTCCAAGCAATGCCAGACGTGATACTAATGATAATTAAAATACTACAACTTTTCATAACATACAAATTTTTACGCCAGAAATAATATACATAAACCATCAGAGATGCAATGAATGAGCTCATTGATATATTAGACTGAACTGCTCATCCAATAGCAAATAATTAATTATCATAATCGATTAAATTTAAATGTAACGTTTTCACATTTTTATTAAATCGGTATAAATATATATAAACAGTTTAATCACATTATATTGTGCGCGGAGCAGCGAGTGGATATTGTATTCTCTTTCTTGCGGGTACAACATGCACTCACACTGCAGGTAGTGAATGATCATCAGCACGAGTGCATAGCTGGCGATGGTCTTCTGGCTAGCATCATTAATGTCATGACCCTTGGCCCACTGCTTCACCACCAGCACGAGAGGACACACCCTCCAGTCCACTGTTCATCAACACGCAAGACCATCACAATCACATCACAAGCCTCAACATTTTCTGAGCGGTGGGCGGTCGTATCGCAAATGCAACCACTATCGAAAAATCTCGCGGTGAATGAAAAGGGTTTCTTTTGACATTATTATGTACTGTCTAAATATCAGGGGAATGTCACTTTAATCATTTCATCATCTCAATCAATAAAAAAATGATTGTCCTAAGCAGCACTAGTTCTTTTGACACAACACTATCTAGAAACAGGTAAAGTTAGTAAAATACTAGAGGTCTGAGTTGTATCAGCCTATTCACGGTTAAGATGGCGGGCTCGATGTGCGGCCACTTACTTTTTGAATACGTGTTCAGCAGATGAGTGTTTCTAATTCCAACAGAGTTGTTGACATTTAGATCCACCTCTGTGCCACTCACTCTATCGACGAACTTCAGGATCGGCACTTTAGCTCGGATGAGAGTTGGCTGCCTAACAAACTCTAAACGAGCATAAAAACACAGGTCTCAGATCGCGTAACTGGAAACGATATCTTGCTCGCACGTTTACTAAACGAGATGAAGTTGATACTGAAAAGCATGCATTTATGAGAGCATGACGATCATGTACAACGAGTAACACATCATTATTGCTCATATATTTCAATACTAAGTGCTGCAGTGTGCCACTTATAATACAAGCTATTAAGTACCACAACTTACGGCATTTAGTGATCGCGCTGAAAAGTCTTGTTAGTATACTCGTCGCTTCGTATCGCTGGTCAATCTACGAGTCACAGAGAGAATAGGCACACTTAGAACAGAGCTATGGTACATACTCATGCAAGTTGATCTGAGATAATACAAGTACTATTCCGATGGGGGGAGAATTACATCACGTGAAAGGTCATAGATTCACGGGATTGTATACGAATATGATTTGTCTGTCTGGTCCTGGTTTACAGGATGCGAAATTAACGCGAGTCCGGAGTCAAATACTCCCCGATTTGACACATGCAGGAGTCCGTGTGACTCCCTGAAAATTCTACTAGTTCGTTTCAGAGCACGGCCTCGCGGAGTTACCGTATTTTTTCAGCAAATGTCCAAAGAAAACTTGGCAGACGTGCATCGCATGAATCCTCAAAATTAGCACGTGCGTTATTGTTGTTAAATACTTTAGTTTTGAACTTCAGACTGCGGACTCCCTCTTTTTGCTGCGGACTCCCTCTTTTTGAGGGTAGGCAGGTAGGGAGTCCGCTGGACCCTTGTTCAAAAGTTAATTTCTACCCATGGGTTTATCAAAAAGAGTTACCTCATCATGTGACAGCATTAGACACATGTCCATATCACTGGTCTCTGAACTAAAGCCACTCATGGATGACCCAACAATGTACAAACCACTAACTGAAATCACAGATAATAACATCACACAGTGAACCAGATATCAATGTAACAATAAAATTAACCTATAGATTTAGCCACCCTTGCCTTTGCCCTCACTGCACCAAGCAGTAGCTTCTAGCACCCAAGTAATCTTATTCAAATTATTTCTAAAACAAGTTGGTATCACAACAAAATGCACACAAATAGAACTTACAAGGATATATTTCCTTTAGCACCTCATAAATTGCATCTCGCAATTTCATCTTGCTTTGGTATGTTTTGTCAGATTGCTTGTGAGCTGCATAGAAATCCCAAATACCCTGAGAGACCTTAAACAAGCAAATTATAACATTAGATGAAGGTGACCAGCCAGCACTAATACAGTCCCCCACAATAAAATTATTAAAATAACATTTTCATGTTCTTGAACTAAACTCATAGGACTGCAGTAGAAATTGTCATTACATTTACATCAATCTAATCATCTCTAGTGAAAAAGCATCAACACCGAAAAATTCGCATCGGTGTCTTACAGTTCCTTAATCGCTCAAGCATGTTAATGACAAATGATTCTACTGAAAACTTCAAATAACTATGACTTGCAATAAGGTAAACCTTTCTTGCATGTAGGAACGTATTTTCCAGCTCACACAAACCGCAAAGATGTAGCTGTAGCATTTTAGTGAGGGGGACGATAATTAAGAACAGGCCAATCTACGCCAGCGTGATAATTAAGAGCAGCAGTACCGATCCCCACTCCGAATTGTCGGCAACGCGGACAGGTGCTGCCACCTTGCGGAGAATCCTCTCTGATGAGCTTGACCGTTTCGCCGCCTCCTCAACAGTGACGTCCGATTCACTGACATGCCGCTTGCTACCACTACGCTCTCTGCCCTCGGGACTAAAGGAGCCAACATCTAGCTGACGCCTGGGGGCATTAATACATTTCTTTAGCATTTTCAAAGTTAGAGTGGAGCGAGAGATTAAGATCATTCATGAGCGAATTAATTAAACAGTTAATTACTACTCTGAGAAAACAATTCAGATGCTCATAGTTTCGATATATGAAGTTATAATCGAGCATGCATATTACACAAAAAGTACAAGAAGACACATTTTTCCACCAATGCAATGTGAGTATATGGATTATAATCAGAAGGCTTAACCACAATTTAGACATGATTATTAGAATTTATCATATATAAATTAATACGCATAAATTACATCACACATCTAACAGACCTTTCGTTTTCTGTGACTGACCTACTGAACAAACATATATAAAGATTATAATCGATCATGTATCTAACGGCTGTACATACTTGACACCCTTGGACGAATTTTTCATGGACGGTGTCGCTCCTGGCGTATACTGCTGCAAGTTCTCGCGCGTCATGTTTGGCGTTACCGCACCGGAACTTGACGGCAAAGAGCCGGCTGAATTCTGCGTGTTGAATTGTGCGTCGATATCCGACCGCGAGTAACTGGTGCTGCGCGAGTAGTTTGCATGTGGCGTCATCGGCTGTGCCGGCTGGATGAGTTGAGCGGCATTTTTGAGTGCCTGCTCAAGCTTAAGGTAGTCAACATTTTGCGGCAAGCAGAACCCAGCAGGCAAGCCGGACAGTCTCTTGTCGATATTTGCCGGCTGCAACAGACGACTGTCCGTGCAACCGGTGAAATATGCTGGCTGGTTGCCATTCGTAAGCAACGGTGGTACAATCCAGGGCTGAATGAAGTGTGGTGCTGTGTAGAGGTTGTTGAACTTGTTCATTACTCTACTAGTAACCACTTTCCACTGGAGGCGGACTCGGGTTAAACCCAAGAGTATCGCTATTGGATCCACCTTGAGTATATCAGAGACCAAATGTAATGTTACATGTCACGTCTAAAAGAGGCATATATTCTGATCTTATTACAATTAGAAAGCTGGTGGTAAATTTATTCTAATCCATAAATCGTATATTGGCAAGTAAGTTTCCAGTTCAGTTTTTAATCAGAAACAAACTGTGGTAATAATTGAGCCTCCAAGGGCCTGTGATACCACAGGCACTTGAAGCATATCAACTGTAAACATACGGCGCCGCCATTGCGCGTACACTAACACATATATATTAAGTGTTATATACTTAATATATATACTACTTATATAATACTTAATATATATGTGTTAGTGTACGCGCAATGGCGGCGCCGTATGTTTACAGTTGATATGCTTCAAGTGCCTGTGTGTGATACGAGTAGATAATCTACAAACTACAAATCATATCCTGCTATATTATACTATATCCTATACTATTAAATCTAATTACGTAATGGCTAATGCTAATAAAATACTCCCGTAACGTACTAGTACTACTACGTAATAAAGGCGCAAATCCACTTTAGGCACCTTAGGTATCACGAAGTGATGCACAGATTTTATACACACTTTCCGTATATCAAGGAATGATGCAAAAACCCTAACCCTAACCCTAAGTCATAAAGTATAACCTTAGGTATCAGGAAGTGTGTTAGGGTTAGGGTTAGGCCTAGGGTTAGGGTTTTTGCATCATTCCTTGATATACGGAGTCTGTGCATCAGTTGATGATACACAGAAATATGTGCATCACTTCGTGATAAGGTGCCTAAAGTGGATTTGCACCCGTAATAAAATGCTAATAAATACGACTCCGACTACGACGAGATACGTACTGTGGTATGTACTCCAATTTTTTAAGACTGCATGTCGTCAGGTTTGATTCCCTCTTATGTTTGAGTATAAGCTGAAATCTATCAAATAATTAATTACCACAATTAAATGCCACGAAGTATAACCATGCACAAATACTACATCGTATAAAAAGCATCACATGTATTAAATAACTGAAATATAAACCAAGTATACGTACGACTTCCCAGCCCATTCAACAACAATTGAGCATGATCCGTTAGAGGGCGCCAAAAACTCGAAAAGCAAAATGAGAGCAGAGCCATATATAGATATCATATAACATATTATCAGGAGTAAGATAATATAGATCTATATTATCTTACTCCTGATATTATGTTATCTCAATATCTGAGATCTAGTGCCGCGTTCCACTGCCAAAAATTTCGAAAAATGCCTTTTATAGAGACCAAATAGTCAATCATTGAATCAATAACAATCAGAACTTTTCTGCCTCCAACGTTTCAACCTTTCCCATTAGACATTTTTTCAAGCTATATTTAAAACTGTTATAGATATATAACATTTGTCCTAACATGTTGTAGTAGAAAGTTCCAATCTTCAATTGCAGTATAAATAAAAGTTTTTCCCCACTGCTTCCAATCCTTGATTTGAATATTGACATCTCATCCCGGATCTCATCCTTCCTCGCTCCTTGAAACTGTGAACTTCAGATGTTAACACTAAATTAATTGCATACACACTAATGAGACACCGGCTATGCGCGCACCTGCCGCTAGCGGCGCTGATCGTCAACTCGGTTACTCAGCAACCCGCAAATATTCACAGAGAGATGTTCGCTAAGACATGTGTCTATGGGTATCTAGAATTTTAGAAATGTAACTCAAATTCTTTGCGAGATATTAGAGTTAGTACACTATCTTACGGGCCATAGCCGCGCGTATATATTAGCCTATGAGCTAATAGGTAACTGGGCGCACAATCCGCGTACTATTTCGTATCACTATTTTATTTAATTTTTCATGAAATAACGGTCAGATTTTTAATATCTTTGCAACTTTTATTAGTACAAATCTTATTACATAGGATACGAGTAACGTGGCTGCTGTAAAACTTGTAGTAAAAAAGCGTTACAAATTGTAACGGTACAGTAGATTAGAAAAAAATCGTTCAAAATGTGAAAAAAGTATGAAAATTGGTACACTTGCATACTTTTGTATGCTCTTTCATTTAAGACAGGGACACACGCGATCCAATTACAACTTCGGCCGCCATCTTGAATTCAAAAATGGCCGCCGTCATTTCTTAAAAAATAGCTATATCTCGTTAATAATCTTCGTACAGACTGAAAATTGACTGACAGACGTAATTTGGGTTACTATTTCATACAACAACGTGATGCATGTGATCCAAGGGCGTTTTCGGCCATTATCTTGGATTCAAAATGGCCGCCATAAAAATTACAAACTTAGCAATATTTCCGTTCACGGAAGATATAGGCCCCTAGAGACGTGAAATTGCAGTACTGGCGCAGGTTAATACCCAGCCGGCCAAGTCGACAGCGTGCCGTATCCAACACGCGTTGGAAACGATGGCAAAACACGCATTTCAACGTGCCGCTTCTTCAAGTAAACGCGACGTGTACACAATCAGTTCAAAACTCACGCGCGCGAGCACGCACGCACGCACATAACAGATAGCTATACGCCCGCGAGAACGCACGCACGCACATAACAGATATTTATATACGCGCACGAGCACGCACGTGTAGCAGCGTATTTGAAGCATAATTAAATTGGTTTAGATCTGCGCATCTCCCCCCCCCGCGCTCCTCGCTCGGACACTCAGGAGGTGTGGTCGGGAGAGGAGTGCGCGTTCATTACGCGATTGCTACAGGATCGATGCTGGCACTTAGGTGCTAGCATCGACGTCCTGGCAGCGTTTCAAGTGTAGCGGTGCGTGATTGAATTGGTTTAGGCCCGCGTATCTGTATCTCCCGTAATCTCCCGTAATCTCCCGCGCTCCTCGCTTAGAGGCTCGATAGAGCTCTAAGTGGGGGGCGTGTCTGTGGCCAAGAAGGCAGAAGCACTCGAGAGATGAGTCCTCTCTCTCTCTCGAGGAAGCGGGAGTGCGCGGGTCAAAGTGATTGAGTTTAAAGCCGAAATTGAGCTGGCTAATCCGCGGCACTTCACAGCTCGATTGGTTATCACTTCTCGCGCGGCACTTCAGAGTGGCTCTCCCTTTGATGTGATATTGCGGGATTATAGGATTATAGATGACGCACGCGTGACGCACGCGTGACGCACACGCGACTCATGTAGGTTACGCGGTCGTGGCTGGCGTATATAAGCCGAGAGCCGGGGAGAGTCGAGGAACTTCGGCTTCACCCAGGCACCGGCAGGCACGACCGCGACAACAGTTCTAATTTGTACCCAAACCACAGTAAACGGCTAAATCATGGTAACAACTGGCTTTCTCTTATTCTTGGCTCTGACTTAACGTAGTAACATAGTAACTCTATTCGAGCACCGTGAATACGGCGCTACATTGGTACCGAGAGGTCACATCTCGGTCACACAAAGCACCTGGGGCATAGGTTTTACCCTCAACTTCACATCAATTCAGACTTACCTGGACTCGTTGCACAAAGATGTGCGCAGGATGTATAAATCACAACCAGCGGCAGCCCCATACTCCCCATCCCCCTCCCCTGACGATGAATACTTCGCAGCCTTAAACCGTGACATCAGATCCCTCGTGCAGGCCCATATGGCATGGTTTCGCCAACGCTTGCAAACACTTAATCTCCGTTTAAGGGACCTGCACTCGTTGCATAAATCAAGAGAGAAACGCGCTATAATTGGTGGCCTTGGTAAACTTGCAAAATTTTTATTCGGTACGGCTACCGATGACGACATTGAGCAACTGCAATGGCAGTTATCTGCATTAGGTACGACACAGGAACGAATTTTGACTGTAATTGACGAATCCCTCACCGTCATAAATTATACCCGCATTGAGACAGAAATGAATACGGAGGTGTTGTCCCATGTAATTTCTCATGCCCGGGATTTAACCACAAGTGTGCGCACACTCATGTTTAAAGTAACGGCCTTCCAGGCCTCTGTGGCGCGGGAGTTCATTGCGATCACACACCTCCAGTTATCCCTCTCAAGCTTGACAGTAGCATTCGATAAT